CGTGCTGCCCCTGGAGCTTGAGGAGGGGCTTGGATGGCTGGTCTGGGCCTCTTATTTGGTTGGGCAGGCGCAGTAGGTGCTGGCCTGCGGAACGGAGCTGAGGGTCGTGAACTCCCTCCTGGCTGAGGACGGGTGCTGAAGCTTCTTTCCACGATCTGTGCCTTTGCTAGGACTGCTGAATATGTCTTGAGCTCCAGTACTACCAAGTGTTGCCTACTCTCTGGGCGGAGACCCAACTGAAATCTCCTGGCATTTCGGCCCTCATCCATCAATGTCTCCGGGGAGTATCGGCCCAACTTTAGGAACTTACGAGCATATTCTGATACTGTCATGTTTCCCTAAACCAGTTGAACAAACTCTGTTTTCTTTAGGTGTCAGATGTGCTCAGGGAGATACTCCGCATGGAAGGCCGCTAGGAACTGCTCCCAAATGACTGGTGTAGGCAGGGTGGTCTGCTTGAGCTCCCACCAACGTCCTGCTTCCCCTACCAGCATGAAGGAAACAAGGGCAGCTCTCTGCTCAGGAACTACTCCCAAGATCCTAAAAGCTCTCTCAGTCTCCGCCAACTAGTACTGAGCCTCTTCAAAAGAGGATCCCCCTGCAAAGGTGGAAGGGTTCAGTCTCTTGTACCTCTCTATGTAGCCCGGGTCGATCAAGGAAGGAGCGGGATCCCGTGGATGAGGGACTGGACCCGGCTGGGGATAGACTAGGGGGTCCTGTGGTGGCACCTTCTGATATGTTGTGGCAGTGCCGGGTAGTACCGTGGCTGGGGCACCGGGTTGTACTGCGGCAGTGGTGCCGGGTGGTACTGTGGAGGAGCAGGCTCGTGCCGGGGTGGCTCGGGATCAGCCTGCTGTAGTGGAGGCTCAACCTGCGGTAGTGGAGGAGGGTCGGGTAAGTCCCTTCTCTCCCCTCGCCCTTGCTGGGCAGCTATGAATCCTTTCATCATCTCAAATAACCTGTCTACATCTCCCGAAATGAATTATCCCGGGCCGCTCGGTTTAGTGGGGGTCTTCCTCTCCTCATCTCTCTGCACCTGCATTTCATAAGGAATGGTTGAGTAACGGTTTATCGGTGAATATTTCTCTAAGCATTATTGTGTAAGGGATGGGTCCGAGGAACGCGGCTCTGATACCAACTGTAACGACCCCGAAAATTTAAATGAAATATATGTATTAAAAATATCAAATGCGGAAGCGAATAAAATTTTTGATTAACATCCCTTACACAATAACCAAAATGTACTCAAAACATGAAAGAACAAACTAACTAAAAGAGATACTCGAGATAAGAACTATAAATATAGTTATGGAGTCTTTAGGCGTCCCCTTCGCCGTCTTCTTGCGGAACAGGCTCGGGAATGATGTCTTCCTGATCTGAAATGGTTAAATAAGGAATGAGCTACACCAGCCCAGTAAAGACATCACACTATCTCACCGCTACGGAAGTAAAGGTGAGTAGAAAACAAAAATGACCAATAGAGCATAATTTATAACAAACTCGTTTATTAACATAAAAACCTTTACAGTCCACTTACCTCGGTGAGATCCATGAAAGTATCATATGAAAACAATAATATTATCATTATCATGAAATCATACACACTTTATA